TTTCGGGCTTAAGGGGTTTAGGATTTCGGGTTCGGCGCTTTTGTGTGTGCCTTTAACTTTACACCTGGAGCCAGCGCAGCCATAGCCCCTTAACCCCTTTAACGCTTTGTAAGTTTGCATGTTGGAGAGTAGGATTACTGGGAGCTAGGGCCGTGCAAATCCTAGAATGAGGACCTAAAAGTTTAGGCAGCTCAAACCATGATTCAAGCAACGGAAGCTCATAAATGTCAAAACCACCCCCAACNNCCCCCCCCCCCCCCCCCCCGAAAACATGAACACCAGGCCTCAAAATCCTTCGTTGCAAAACAAACCCTCGTATTCTGGCAACACCAATTGCTACAACTTGGGCTCAGGGTTCGGGGCTTGAGACCGCACATCGCGCAAGCCCTGAAGCGAGCCTGCGGCGAGCTGCTGGGAGGAGGAGGAGCCTTTGGCCTCATGGTGGTCTCGTTTCGGGGGAATTAAAGCTACAGCGTTGGCAGTTTGGGTCCTTGTAGCCTTAAGCCTTATAGGCTTGCTGGAGATGGAGAGCTGTGAAATGCCTTCGGGATCAATAGACTCAGACTCTGGATCGTGCATAATTACTGATCATACACATTGGTTGGTAGTTCTTGAGGCTCCGACAAGGCAAATCAAATCTGATCTCCCGTGCCTCTGGCTCCCTGCTATGTGGTCTTGACAAGGATTGCAGCAAATGCTCCTAAGTCCGCAACGTTGATGCCGGCGGACCTGGTGGAGGTGGAGGCGGTGGCGGTGCTGGCGGTGGCGGGGGCCTTCCACCACAAGCGCCACTGCATCCACCACAGCCACTTCCGCAGCTGCAGCCGCACCCTCCACTGCAACCACAACCCCTGTTGTAGCCACATCCCCCTGAGCAGCCGCACCCACCTTGACACCCACCACCACAACCACACCCACACCCAGCACCGTAGCCGCCGCCACATCCGCCATTACACCTTCCACCCCCGCAGGAGCAACCGCCATATCCGGTTATGGGGCTTTCTTCAGCCTCAGAGTTGTAGAGTGGCAGAGTGATCGATCGATCGCAGCCACCACTGCAGCCGCTGCAGCCACACCCACCGCCGCAGCCACAGCTACTGCTGCAGCCACCGCCATAACCTGCACAAGCATGCTCACACTCCATCCCTCTTTTCCTCTCTCACCTGCACAGCTTCTTGTCAACTGTGTTCGAGCCCAGCTGCTGCAGCCTCCTCCGCAGCCACAGCCGCCACAGGCAGAAGCACCACTGCAGCCGCAACTGCTGCAGCTGCCACAGCCGCCACAACCTGTGTAGAACATCAGCCGAGCAGCAAGGATTATTGGCGGCATACGTGCTAGCAGCACGGACGTCACGTACCCGAGCACCTGTGTAGCCACAGCCACTGCAGCCACTACCACATCCTTCGGGCACAATCGGCTACGTGGGCGGTTCAAGCATGTGTGTTCTCCCCCTTCTCCCTTAACAGCAAGAAAGCTGACAATCGGGGCAGCAGCTATGCGCACTTGCTGCCTTGTCAACCTGACTCAGTTACCACATCTGCCCCGTCAGATACCTTAGACCCATGTAAGCTTCATCGCCTCTACGACTCTACGACATTGGCCCAACTTTCAGGCCACGACGGTTTAGTGGACCACCGCATCTGTCTGCAATAGGTACACCAGGTACCCATTCATCTTCTCGTGCAGCAAGTTCACAGTGCTGCACAACCTATCATTACACTGAAACTTCGAAAGTTAACATCATCAACAACCAGCAGCGGCGATGCAAATGGGTCGTCAACCAGTCGCCTGTCCCGACCAAACTGTTCGAGATGAAGCTATGCTGGCAACTGCGTCTTAGAACTGTAGAAGGTCGGACTCGTACTCGAGCCAACAAGACTGCAAAGAAATGTTGCGAGTTGTATCTTTGCTCCTGCACAGACTATAATAACAACTACAATTCGAAATTGGGCGGGTGGCGTCGCGGCTAATTTCCGCAGCGGTCGCTATTTGATTTCAACATGGTTAGTGGTAGTAGTTGTTGTCGTCGTAGTGGGTTCAGGGCACAGACAGGGCGTTTGGGAGCAGTATCTGGGCCAAACAGAGTGTGCTTTTGGGGGTGTCAGAGAAGGCACAACGAGCCTACCTGAGTCAGAGATCCGAGTCAGGTAAGGTGTTTTCGGCATCCCGAAAGTAAAACAACTAGTAACTGTGTAACTATTTATCTGTACAGAAACATGATAAGGGAATGCCAAAAGGGTGTCACCAGCAAAAGGAGCCTATCTGAGTCAGATAGGGTGTTTTCGGGGTCCCAAAGCAAGACAACTGCCTATCTGTGCTGAATAGGGTGCTTGGCTGATCAAGGAGCCTATCTGAGTCAGATAAGGTGTTTTGGCGGCCATAGAAGCCAAAATAAGGTGCTCTTGGTGTGCCGAAAAGTGCTTGTAGTGGCCCAAACCAATCTGGGACAGGGCGTTTTAGGGCAGCATCTGGGCGGGTTCCAGAAGGAGCTTTGTGCTGCTCACCAGCAAAAAGCTCCTATCTGAGTCAGTTAAGCTGTTTTCGATGTGTTTTGAATCGGAGCGATCCTATCCGAGTCATTTAGGGTGTTTTCGGTGTGTCCGAAAGCCCCCAAACGGCCTACCTGTGCCAAGTAGGGTGCTTTGGGGATGCCAGACAGTGTTTTTGTGCCAATCAGCAAAAGAAGCCATATCTGAGTCAGACAGGGTGCTTTGGGGGTTCCCTATCTGGTTTGCGGTTTTCGTTGAGGCTCGAGTTACACGACAAAGAGCAACATGGGGGCTATGTGGGTCATTTGGCTCTATTTGCGACGACTGTGGTCGCTAATTTCGGAGATTTCCGAGGTGACGTTGCGTGACGTCGCTATGTTTTGTGCATTTTTCTCCTGAGAGCTTGTCAAACATCCGCAGGAGGTAACGATTTGGCGTTGACGTTTCAACTTCAACATACCTCTATACAGTGCAGTTCTAAGCCTCGTTGCAGGTGATCGACGCGTGCAACTGCTTGCATGCACGCCGTAAGTAGATAAGTAGAGATTTGGGCAGTTGACCATCAGGGTGTGGCAGCCACTTCAGCGCATTACTAGCTATTGCCTCGCCTGCTTAGACCGATATCCGGCATTAACAACCCTTTAAGCATATGTTGAGATGACAGTTTCACGAAAAAAGCTCAAAAAAGCCACAAGGAAGTTTCCCCGTGGAGTGCATCCTGCAACAGTCTCTGAGGGCCTGGAGAAAGGGGCAATGAGCAGCGCAGGCCTTCTAAACATGTAACTGTCTGGTCATGCAGTCATGCCGTCCTCCACTCTGCAGCTGCTGAAGCTGATTCAACCTTGCATGGCGGCGAGGACGATTGACAGCCGCTACCCACGGTCTGCGCAAGGACAGCCAAAACCTCTGCCAAGCGCGCCCGAGCATTACAGCCTGTTCCTTGAACCCTTGTGCATCCAGGCCTGTTATGACTGCCGGCTTGAATCCCAACACCCCCTAAACCCGAAAGCCATGGAACACTAACTGGGTGGGGCACACATTCTGGTTGCTGGCCAGACCTGGTGCTGAACCGCCTGGCATCGGGGTCGATTACAAAGTACCAAGCTGTATCGTTTAGGGTTTACGGACGGTTCAGTGTCTTGGGACAAGGGGTTGAGATCAACGGCGTATTCCTTCATAATGAGCACAACCTGGACCCTAAAGAACCTGCCTTCTTAGAGCTTCTTTTTATGATTTCTTGATAAACGTCCGTTAAAAGGTAGGTTGTTTGGGGGGTAAGGAAGCACTCAACAATTCCATGTCCAGTAGTCTTCTCAATGCAGTTTCTCATTTGCAGTCCCGGGCTCTGCGACTGGCTTTCGCACCCTCTCAGGCAGGTCTAGACAGCAGCTGGAGAGGCTTAAGCTTATCCTTTACGAGGCGGCAGTCTCGCTTGCACGAGTGACTGCTTTTCCCAAGCACCGATGCATTCTTTTTCTATCCAAAAAGCCCAGTACTCCTTCATGATTTAAAGCAGGAGTTGAAGGCTTATACGGTATTCTCCGTCATTAACAGGGCATTGGCTCCCTGCAACAGGGAGTTGCGCAGTGCAAGCCAAGAGTGGGCGAGGAATTATCAGTAACCCCCGCCCTTTGGGGCCCGAGTAAACTCCAAACACCGAAGGGGTGAACGTTCGACCGCTTAAGATGTTTATACGGTTTCGGTGCTCACACTATATAATAGCTCGTAAAGTTGAAAAGGAATAACACTTCCACAATTCTCCGATCTAGGATGTGAAGAGGGGTTGGGAGTATGCTTTTTGGATTAACAGGTTTTCGACTCTCACAAATCGCACTCGGCAGGCAAGGCTCGACACGATTCAAGGTGAACGTGTTTAGGGGTGAACGGTTAGTGCCTCAGGGCTTGCTTGAACGATTAGTACAGGAATCTGATTAAGAAACCTTGCAGTCTTTCTTAGGGTTCTTTTTTCATGAGCCCTCTTATTTTTTGGGAGTAATTATAGGACCAGGAGACCTTAGTCAGGTTCCTACATTGCCCTGCAAGCCCTTCTTTCCTTCGGCCCCAGGGTGCTCTTTAGAAACCCCGCTCTTTGGCAAGCAAACGCCAGAAACAAAGTTCATAAAACTCTACATGATAGACTCCTGACTAAACCCTAAACCCTAAACCCTAAACCGTAGCCTAATGTGCTACAAGGACCTCTGACCACAGGATCCCCACGACAGGTCACAGGCCCTGCCCTCGCTTGTGCCTGGGCAGCCACCTTGAGCCTGACAAGACCAAGGAGTTCTCATTCTTAAGCCCTGCCTAAACCCCCAAACGTAGGTAAAATAATGGCCCAAGACCCTTAAAAGGCTATGATTTTACATACTTTTGGGGTCCAGGTGAGGTATTTAAACCTCACGGAGCACTGAAGCAATCCCGACTCGCTCTTCCGAGTCCCATGAAGGATGCTGGGCCAGTGCCAGGAGTAACTTCAGGCGTTGTGGGGCTTCGGGCCCTGCACTGCTAGCTTTGGGCTTCGGGGTTGGGAGGGGGACATTTAGACAGTGGCTCTGGCTCTGCGCTTTTTCCACTGACCTGTAATTTCACACCTTCCAAACTTGGGGGGCTCGAATTTGAGCCCTGAACCACCGTTGAAGCATGGAGGGGGGTACTGGTTCTTGTTAGGGGATGTTGTTTTGAGTTACCATCATGGAGATCTATAGTAAAATAATACGGTTTCTTTAGTATGGTAACTTGAATTAAACCCCTAACAAGAACCTCTTATTTAAGTTACCATAATGGGGATCTATAGTAAATTATATGGCTTGTTTATTATGGTAACTTAAATTAAGTCCCCTAACAAGAAGCCAGAGTAGAGTAGCTGGGGAGATCCGCGGGGATCCGTATAGAAACCTTAAAGCAACCCTTACAGAACCTTAGGGTTTAGGGTTTGATTCAGGCCCGGTTGAAGCAATACCTCTAGCTCGGCAAACCCGGGATTTCGATAAGGTCCCTGGACCCCAACATTTTGGGCTGAAGTTCGCGCTCTTCTCTACAAAGACCTCATTGGGTTTCGACTCTCACACTCGCACCAGGCAGGCAAGGTTGCACATAGTCACGTCACGCCAAGGAGACCCTGGACCCTGAAACGCATACACATAGGGAAATCAGACACTACAAATAACAAGGAGCTACGCTCGTTGGCAACAGGATCCAGGAGTCTCAGCAGTAGGAACATTATCCCACTCTCCACCTAATGTCAAAAGTCTAGTGGTACAGAGCATGGGCATCATGCTGACCAATTTTGAAAAGCGACACAAATTCTGCTAGCACTCACATCGTACAAACTGCTTGTACGCGCACTCACATGCAGACGGGTTCAGTGGCAGTAACCAAGCTCATAAATTCTCATGCACACATCGGTGGCGCACACCACATTCGCTGGGATACATGCATGCAGCAGGACGACTTTCCGTCCCAACCAGGTGGCAGACTCCAGACGCCAGTGCACAC